TCGTAGCTCAGCAAAGTCATACTAAAACATTTGACAGGTTTTGAAGCGCCGTTTACATAAAATCGTTTCGAGGTCAGTAAACACAACCAGAATTCATACATAAGGCACACGGGATTATAAGGGGCACTGTCGACTTTCAGAAAAATCAAAGGATTGATTTTAAGTGTGCCGTATTTTCCAAACAACACTTTAATAACGAGGGCCCGCTAGCATGCGCTACCAAAAATAGTGCTTTATTGTGTATCTGACGGACGAAAGCTAAACCAGTTCCACACCACTGAAGTTGCAGCATTTTTACAAACCAGTTCTGGTTCATCCGTTTCATTCAACGATTTGCTTTCGCCGCAATGCTTTTTCCGACGTGTGCGTATGAAAACAAAGGCACTGCGCATGCGCGTTTTACCCATATTCTACTGCGATATTTCATTTTTCTATCGTTGCCCAAAATTATACCAGTATTACTGTGAACGGTATGATATAACCCAGCTTCAAGTTTCCATCATTGTGGTGGAGCTCTGTTTAAAACTTCTCAAAGGCAGCCGTGTTGGGTGCTGTTTATGGCTTGGAAAGTTTCTTGGCTTTAATTCAGCGTTCAGAGTTAATGACATATTTCATAACTGGAAACAAATGTGCACTTTTCTACCTGATGTGGGTCGCTGTATGCTGCATTACCATCATTCACTAGGCTACGTTTTTTGCATCTTATACCACGGACATGGAGGAAACGGAGTATGCCTCCTTCAAAGCCTAGATCACGTGCATTATCCGTGACTGACATGTAGCCCAACTTAGGTCCAAACAAAGTTGTTTTCAAAATCTTTGGGAGAGAAAATCATAACTGAAACCAAAGTCTGAGGAATCACCCAGCACTTCATTCTATAGAGGGAACAGGATGCACATACATGTTAAACTCAGTCACGTGAGACAGCTGCCATGCAGCATGCATGCACCAGTGCAGACTTACTATGAAAAAAGGGTTATGTTTCAGTTTGATTTCTTTTACCGTGCCTCTGGCTGGTTTGTTTACATGTGCATGCTTTCTTTTTTCATGTATTTGCAACACACTGACTTGCAGAGTGTGTTTGTGAGCTTGATTTTCAGTCCAGGAAAATCACTTTAACATTTGCCCAAGTACTCACAGTTATGCCCGCCATTCAACACTGGCAAACATGATAAAATCTCTGTATGTAAATTTAAAACACACATCACTGCTAACACTCTGCCATCCATTTCCTCCACCTCAGATCCTGTGGACATTTTCTATCTACTTGGAGTCAGTGGCCATCCTACCTCAGCTCTTCATGATCAGTAAGACGGGAGAAGCTGAGACCATCACCACCCACTACCTGTTCTTCCTGGGTCTGTACAGAGCTCTCTACCTCATCAACTGGATATGGAGGTTCTACTTTGAGGGGTTCTTTGATATGATTGCCATCGTTGCTGGAGTGGTGCAGACCATCCTCTACTGCGACTTCTTCTATTTGTATGTAACAAAAGGTGAGTGCTGCTGCATTTTTCATTTCATTTTTTTAATTAAATATATATTTGTTCAAACCAAAGTTGAAAATCTCTTTAATGGTAGCAGTGCAGATATGTTGTAACTTGTTTCAAGGACAAAGCAAACATGAGCACAAGATTAGATTCTCCAATCTGAACATTTTGTTTTTACTGTGTGTAGTGTTTTGTTTTTTTTCTTTGGGTTTTTTTTTTTCATCATTTGCAATCCTAAACTTTTAAGGTTTGTCCATAAATTGATGTCATTGAGTTCATAACTGTCTTGTTTACAAAAGAGTATCAGGAAGAGATGCATTGTCATATCAACTACTGCATCACTATAATGAAAAATTCAGAAACGCCCTCGATGCTTCATCATTTATTGAGTTTTTAATATGAGTTTAAGACGACTTCCTTTTTCTTTTCTCACTGGTGACATCACAAACAACACAACCAATGCAGTGGCCATAAACCAGGCTTTACACTCATGTTTCAGAGCACACTGGACAGTACATATAGTCACTCCACCATCTTGTGGTAGAAACTGGTGTTCATCAAAATCATAGGTCGACTTCAGCTGATGTCTCTTAAACACAGTGCGTAGACATTTGGATATAAATAGCAGTGGCTTCTTCACATCCCTTTGATTGCTTTAAATAATTCAGGTATAATAAGTTCCCTTTAACTACACTGATGTTAAAACAAATGTTGATGAAATAGTTTTCATATAAGTTTTGGTGTTCAAGTCTCAGGCAGCAAAAACACTAAACTGAAAAAAATCAATCCATCAGTGTGTCTTCTTGTGATGAATGCTCCCTGTCTAATATGTTTAACATAAATCTGTCCTGTCTGGTTTCAGTACTGAAAGGAAAGAAGCTGAGTCTGCCAGCCTAAGTGCCAAAGAAGAGTGTTTTGGCAGACTCAAATCGGGCAATTGGAGGGGAGGAGGAGGGGCAGCAGACACCTCTGACAGCCCCATTCCCCCAATATCAGCAGTCACTTCCTCCTCTTCCCCTCCCACCAGTGTAAGATGCCTGAGACAGAGAGCTAGCAGGAGCCACTGGCTGATCCAGAATCAGTGGAATTGGAACACCTTCAGCAGCTGCTCCTTGGCCTGCAGATTTCTGTTTGATGCATCTTGCCTTAACTTTTTTTATTACTCTGTATAACGGAAGGGGAAAAAAAGCGAGAAATGTTTTCTACATAAAATGTGTGATCTGGAGATTCGACACATCGATGGAGCTCGGGAGATAAAATTGCCTGTGATTTGGCACTGTATGATATAGAAGCAGACTTCTTGTGGTGGGATATTATTGAGCATTTTTAATAGTATTTGCAATCAAAATAAAATCTCTTTGTTCTTGTTTTTGTTTTTTTCTAAATCTGACTGAGGCGGCTTGTATTGAATCCCATAACTTTGATTCTGCCGTTCTGTTTTTGGCCAGTATGCATTCCCATTTGTAATGACTGCTGCTCATGCCTTTTGGTGGAAAAAAAAAATAGTAGTAGATGCCATAAATAGTTCTTTTTCAAAATCAAAGCAACTCTGAAGGTAACTTTAGAATATATTTTGGTTCAAATGCTGTCAGAAATGATGGGCATTAGATCCTCAGTGTATTCTCCGTCGCCATATGAAGCACTGTCCATATTAGGAGTAAACAAACGTGTGAAGAAAGTCAGTGAACTCACCGTTAATTGCTTTCGTTTAAAGTGACCGATGCCACCTGTAATTATACATCATTTCAAATGGTTCCTTTTATATGTTTGAGATGCATAAACTCACTGGTTATGTGCTGTGTGTGAAGTCCCACTGCAGAGGTCTTTTTTTTTCCTTTTAGCTGCAAATGTATTTATTTTTTAATCTTCCTGCTGGTTTCCAATAAACAGTCTGTAGAAAGTTCTACCTGTTGTGCATAATTTGACCCTAAGAAAGGAATCTCCCTATTGGATTTGGAAAGAGACTGCGGCAGTATCCTATGAAGTTATATTGGTTTCTGATAGAGTTTTCATGCTCATCATTCTCAAGTTCTCTTTTTCATTTCTCACCAGAGCTCTTGCATGATATTACCACCACTAATAAAAGCTTTGTGGGAAACATTTGTCTTAGTACTGTGATTCCACTCAAGTTTTGCTCCTATGACGTTACACGTGACGGTCAGATTTATTACTTTTTTTTTATCCGCTGATGCAGAAAGTCTAATAAGCTCATCGCATTTTCATATATACTGGAATTTCCCTTTTTGGTGTCAGTATTCCACCCATGTTGGGGGGCACACACCAGTGTACTCCTAGTATCCCAAGCCCTGATGAATGGGGAACTTTGCCTCAGGAAGTGCATCTGATATAAATTAAGCATGCAAATAATACAGAATGAGATTTCCATTCATACCGGATTGGTTAAGGCCCAGTTTAACAACGAGTGCTTTCACTGCTGGTCAGAACTGTGCTGCTGTTGGCAGAAGACAAAAGATGGAAGGCATGCTAAGGGGCAGTGAGAGAGAAGGAAAGCAGTAGAGGTGAGAGGACGCATTTAAATGTAGAGACTATGACTGGTAAAGACAGAGTGCTGGCTAGTATCATAGAGTGAAGGAAGACTGGACACATATATCCTGGTATGCATTGTCTTGGTGAAAAATTCAAGAAACACCTGGATGAGAGCACAAGTTGCTCTAAAACCTGTATGTACTTATATTATAGGGTACATATGGAGACAACAGAGACAAGACATAAGTTTGCAGAGAAAACATATAAAGACAGACAACCATTCAAACCTACAGCCAATTTAGAATTACCAAACAACCTAACCCATGTGTTTGGACTGGAGAAGGAAGTTGCTAACCACTACACCACGGACTATTTGTTTTTAAAAAAATACTTAAATAAAATGCAGACAATAATGCATTCTTAAGCATGATACTATTCCAAACTGCAGATTTATAGACATATTTTCATTAAATGTGGTGCGTGAACAGACTGCTGATTCTACTGTTTGCTCAATCATTCGCTAGATTAATGAATTTTTTAACCAACCAATCAGCGAAAAATGCATTAACCTTTTTGTGCTTTTTTATATTATTATTATTATATTATTTACATATTTTTTATTTATAGACTATAGAACATTTAAAAAACAGAAGCTAACTCAAAGTGCTTTAGAGACAGACACATTTAAATTATAAGTCTCCAAAAAACAAAGAAAATAAAAGCAGAGGGGTGAGTTTTGTTCTGTTAATTACTGTAGAAAGAAAAATCATAGTGATTTAGTGATCATTAAAAGAAGAAAAAAAATGCAAATTGATTATTATTCTTTTCATAACTGCTCTATCCTATATAAGTGGCCTTTATAGTAACGGCAATACTTGCCCTGTATTTGCTTGGTATCAGACTAATACCCGATTTTGAAGTATCGCACGGCACTAGCTGTTACATGTTGACGGAGCTGGATTATATGACGAGTGTGCTCGGAACCATCGATTTGAGCCACCCGGAACAAAAACGTCGTCGGACCAAGCTTTTTTCTTTCCCCCCATTTTTAAGTCGCGTTGGTTTTAGTCATTGTCATGAATAACAAGTGACGTTTTTAACGTGTCTGACGAAGAAAGGAGAAGTAGTAGAAAAGAAAGGACACCCCCCTATATTTATAGCTAATTTCTGATTGTGTGCGATCGAGTGCAGTGGATGAACAGGATGGAAAATGATATTTCAGAAGGGAAATCTACTAACTCTTCAGGTAAGTTTTCCTAGCATCACTGTAAAGAGTTGGTTTTTAGTCAGACAGTCTGAATAACAAGCTGCTTATGTGGCATTTTAACGGAGGAGATATTTCACAAACGCTGATGAGTAGTAATAAAACATTGGGGATTTAGTGTCGAATAAAAATAGCACAGTTATGAGTAACACTGCCTGCATTTTCTTGAATAGGCACTTTATGCAAATACGTGCAACATCTAACATAGGCGCTGTCTACAAATGAATTTGGTATTAGTTGTAGTACCGAATTCAATTAAAGTGAACGCTTTCATTTAAAGTGGTCTCTGCTTCCGTTCTTGATGCCAGGGATTCCATAACATGTTGGAGATGTTTGTCGTGGGTTCTTTTGACTTAATCTAAATGCACTGTGGTGGAAATTTTGCAACAAACTTATAAACGGTTACAATGGACCATGTACCAGCTTTCATAGGAAGAGAGGCAGTCTACACCTTGGGCAGGTTTCCAATCTATTGCAGGGCTAACACAGAGAGATGGACAAGCAATCACGCTCAAATTCACACCTATGGCCAGTTTACTGTAGAATCACCAGTTAACCTAACTTGGATGCCTTTGGACTGTGGGAGGAAGCAGACGTATCAGGAGAGAGCCAACACAACCATGGGGAGAACATAGAAAGGCCCCAACTGGCTGGTTGATTTGAACCCACGACCTTCTTGCTGTGAGGCTGCGATGCTACCATCTGTCATGAGCATTATAAATACTTGCATTCTTAAATGTGACACTCTGACCAAAGCTCATTTGATCATAAAGTAATAGTAGACTACAGTATGTTGTATTTTTCAATTGTGAGTAGATTTCAAACAGATGTATAGATTTGATTTAATGTTGTATGGTAAATGATAAATGGCCTGTATTTGTATAGCGCTTTACTAGTCCCTAAGGACCCCAAAGCGCTTTACACATCCAGTCATCCACCCATTCACACACTCATTCACACACAGGTGATGGCAAGCTACAATGTAGCCACAGCCACCCTGGGGTGCACTGACAGAGGTGAGGTATGTCAACAGTTCATTACTGGCCAGCCTACTGAGTACTACAGATGTCTGTGTATTGTGCAGGCAACGGGTAGAACATGCCTCAACTGACCAGTGGATTCCTTCTTGCTATTAGGCGATGGGGCTAAACACCACCATATATATATGAGTTTATTAAATATGTATATGCGACTGCTTCGCTATGAAAGGATCAAGGAACACAAAGCAAAAGAGCAAAACAATATTTTGGCCCTGCAGTTTAGTAAGTCCCATGTTCATGAAACTCATTGTCAGAAAATTTGCACAATAAACCAGGAACTAGTTTATGGGCCAAATGACATATTTTAGTTTAGTAGTAGTAGTAATAATAATAATAATAACAACAATATTAGTCAAAACAGTCAGTTTTAATGAGTTATTCATTTACAAAACAGACGATGAGCAGCATTTGGAGCAAGGTCACCACTAAACAATATACAAACAATTGGACAGCTGTGTTAAGCCAAGTATTTGTGTCTGGGTTTAAGTTATGGTTCATTTTATGGATATTGATAATAAAACATTTATCCCCGATGTTAAAATGACCCACTTCTGTTCACATTCAGGTGCAACACTCTCCCTCACTGCCCTGCGCCTCCTGGTCCCACCACTTCGGTTGGTCTCCGCAGCCGTCTGGCAGACCATCCAGCAAAAAGTTATAGCTGATTACGGGATGCTTGAGGAGTTTGTGTCTATGGTTACAGACATTCTTCCAGAGCTGCTCACCAGCCGCCAGCGGACTGAACTCAGCCTGGGCCTCAGAGCACGGGTGAGTTTATCAGCATCTGCAAATGAAGTCATTGTAGATTTGATGGATTTGTACTTTTTTGCCTTCGTCATAATTGTCTTTTACGTCGATAAGAGCTTTGCACGCCTTTTGTTCTCTTATTCTTTGGCAACCAGCTTCACGAGGACTGGAGCATTTCCAACATCCAACAGTTAGCTGCTTTTCCATCCTTCTGTGCTCTGACACAGAATGTCAGTTGGTTCTAGGTCATTTGATTGGGTGGCCATCACCACTCCTCCTACATCCTTCCTTTTGGGAACCACACACTAAGATACCATCTGTTCACCTTCTCTGTGTCTCAGAAGACATTGTATCCACAGTCAACATTGTCACACTTGGATTATGCAGTCCAAAATCCAGATTTCCACTAATCTAATGTCCAATTAGATCCAATTTTTTCAGGCATTCTGCCGCAAACACAGCCATGTTTCTACTTCTCAAACCTTTAATCTTTAGATAACTCTAATATGGTTGTAGAATTAATCTACTTCCTAGCTTCCTGTAATTAAATGATCAAAAAGCATAAGAAAATCTAGCACTCCCTAAATCACCACCTGAAGATGTGTCTGCATATACCAGTCACAAAGCGCCACGCATTGTGAAGTTTCCTGAATACACTTGACTAAGGGCATTTAGATCAAGTGATGTTACCCAAGAACCATTACAATAAGTGTAGAGTGCAGAGCAGTGTCTGGATCTCAAAGAATTCACCCATTGCAGTATGGTGAATACAGAGGCCAAGAAAAACAGTGGTTGACAATGTGAATCGTTCAACATCAACGTGAATGTCCATAAAATCGTGCCTGTACAGAGTGCCGGCGTATCCATCAAGCTCACAAAACACGCAGTGAAATCACCAACACGGTAGCATTTCATTTGGTAAAAGACAATGGGCTGATATTTATATAGCACTTGTGCAGATAACAAACAAAGTCTTAAATTCGTGCACACACGTATGCTTCAGTGTAGGCATCAGAGGCAACTTGGCTTCATGCTTTGGTGATGCAAAGATTTACACATTAGCGGGAAAGTCCCCTCAATCTGAATGTGAAAGTAGCGTCTACGTGACAGTGCTGTAGAACAGTTTTGTCTACAGTCAATGAATAGTTGTGATTAATAACTGTGATGATCTTAACATTGAGAATATTAATAATTAATTAGTTGTGCCGTTCAGCAATTAAGCCACTAAGGTGAAATACTATACCAAGCATGACTAGAAACTTCCACACAAAACCAAAACAAAGTTTGGCTGATCCCCTCTGGACTTATTTCAGTGTTGGTGCTTTTTTTACATTTCCACGTGGAAGTCTCATTTCTGCTCTGGATCTTCCCTGATCTGTCTAACCCGTTTTCTTTTATGGAAAATGGTTGAAAAGACAAGTGAGTGGGACAGGTTGTGCTACCTGTTTGTATTGCTGATAAAAGCCGTGCATGCTGGCAAACAATGCAGGTTACTGTTGAATAATCCTTTCTCAGGTCTCTCAGGACCTTACAGTCTCATTTATGATGATTTAGGTTGCCCAACACCTTGAAAATTGAAATAGTGATTGTTCATGTCACTCTATTAAACATCAGTTTCTTTGCGCTCTCAGCTGATCCTGGAGTTATACCAGCGTGAAGCTCCTGCTGACTTTGAGATCATCCAGCCACACTTGGACAGGATGCAAGTGCTCATCAATGCATGGCTAGTGGAGGTGATTTCATTGGTTTTTGTTTTCTGTTATCGTGACAGTATAATTTAGATTCCCAAAACAGCTTATTATCATTATTAATTGTTATTATTATGAATTATGCAGGCTGGTGGTACTAATGTAGAACTGCCACAATCAAACTTTGTGGATCTTGTAAAGAACTTGCAGAATGATGCTGAAGAAAGAGAGCACTTCTTTCAGGTCTGTATTTGTTTTTTCACTGCTTTTTTGCATCCTAGATAATAATACCATATAAGTGTTATTATTTTATTATCAAAGCTGGAGTACTTTCATTTTCAAGTAGTAGTAGTGGTAAAGTAGTCTAGTATGTGTAAAGGTGTATTTTTGAGTTTACTAAAAGCGCCAGGTGCAGTGATATTTCTGTATGTTTTGGACGTTCATGGTGTGCTTTCTTGTTTGTGCTTCTCAGAATGTTTTCCCTGTAGAGTTTGGTCCTGCATATGATGAAACACTTCACACTTTGATGTGCCTGTTTTTATCCAGATTTGAAAAGATTCTTCATCTTCAGTCATTCCAGCAGGTACACAAAAGTGCTACTCAACATTACCCAATTATATTTTAAGCTAGATTAACAAATGTTAACGCCGCTCTTTCTTTTTCATTTTCAAAAGGTTGCCTCCATGTTTGGTGAAGCTTCTTCTGCTCTCAAGGACTGCATGCAGTTGGTGTCTCAGTGTGAAGAGCTCAAAACTCTGCTGCAGTATCAAAAACACCTTAGCCAACTAGATCATATAGGTAAGTAGTTACAGATTTTCTACTCTTAGCTCCGTATCCCTGATTTAGCCATCTCAGGCACATGGCTCTGGCTGTGAGCGCTAAAGGCCCCGCCCACTTGCAGTTTGCAAGGACAGCTAATCGGAGGAAAGTTACCCTAAAGGTCTGTTGAGTAGCTAAAACAACTTGTTTCAGATAGCAGATTCACTGCGAGGCTGAAACAAAGGACCAGTATAAGACAAATAAGGATTATTTTGAACTGTGAACCATGCAAAGCTACTCTAGTAGAGTCTGACGTTAAAAATGTGGAGCTGATTTTTAATCGGTCCACTTTAATGATGTGTATTTGGCTTGTGGGATTGCTGCTTTGTGGTCAAAAAAATAAATCCAATGTTCTCAGATTAGTATGACGTGTGCAATAATGTAATAATGAATGGCACTTGGGTGTTGAGCTCTGTTCTTGTTCACTGTTATATGACACCTTTTTTTGTCTTTTCAGATAGTTCTCTGGACGGTGAGTGGATCATTTCAGCTCTAAACCTTCCCTGTGTAGAAAAAACAGAAACGCTTAAAACACAAGCAAAGGGCAGCATTTTGGATGAATTGTTATTTTCATCAGATTTGGAAAAGGAATCACTGGCTCCAGAACAGCAGACGTGTGAGACCAATGATGGTAAAAGTGATTGGACTCCTGAGCACAATGGAACACAGTTGCCTTTAGGAGATTCAACAAAACATGCCGAAAATGTAAATCTTCAAAGTCAGACAGATGGTTCTTGTTGCCTAATCAAAGAGTGCCACGTTCGTCTAAGAAGACTTGACCTGCCACTGTCTTTACAGTCTCGACCTGTGAGATCAAACAGAGGCCTAAGAATGAAAAAGATTCTCCAAGAGGTGAAAGGGCAACTTTGTGGAGAGGCCCTACCTGCTGACAAATCTATTTCCACGAAAGCAAAACAGTTCGAGAGGGTTTCTCAAATGCTGTCAGACAATGAGGATTCAGGCAAAGACTCCTCATACATGGCTCCCATCAGTACTTGCAGTGAAGATGACTCCTGGTCTTACTACTCGGATAAGGACTCTTGTCATAACACTGTTAGTAGAAGTCCCAGTGTAACTGATTCATGGTCTCACTACTCAGACGATGAGTCTTCAATTGTGAGTCCTGTTAACAGTTTCCCTGAAAGTGGTTCAGTTTGTAGCAGCTCAGATGAGGACCCTTCGTTCCTGGGTCCTAAAGATGTGTCAGATTCTAGCAGAAATCGGGGCACTGCTGGCATAAAGCATAGCTCTACCAAACACACTCGTTTAATCCAGTGCTTTATCTGCAAAGAGCATGTCAACACAAACCTGAGAACTCACATGAAAACCCACTTTCCCACCAATGACTACGCGTGCCCTCGATGCGATAGCAGGTTTAAACTCCTATCCTCTCTGAAGAAGCACTTGAATAAGACTTGTTATGAATATGCTCAGCAGCATGTAGATCCAGGGAATCCAGATGAAGTCAAGAATCTTTACAAATGTGACATATGCCAAGAGGCGTTCAAGTACAAAGTTGCTCTGCAAAAGCATACGCTGACCCACAACGAGCTCTACTGCAACGTATGCAGAAAGGTCCTTCGAGATGCTGCAACGCTGGCAAGGCACAAAGTTTCACACACTCCATTTCAGTGCAACCGCTGCGACAAGTCTTTCAGTCTTTTCAAGCCCTTACTCAAACATTACGAAAACATCCATAAAGTCAGCAGACCATTCAAATGCAGCCATTGCCCCAAAACTCTCCCCAGGCTGCGATTTTTAATCATACATGAATGGCACCACACAGGCCACCTGCCGTTCCGGTGTTCTCATTGCAGCCTGAGATTCAAATGTGATTCTGAGCTCATGTACCACGAGAGGGTCCACACCAGAGAGAAACCCTATCTGTGTGCAGAGTGCGGCAAGACGTTCGCCCAAAAGTCCAACATGTTGCGCCACCTGCACTTCATCCACAGCGAGTCTCGAAATGAGAAGAAGCACTCTTGCTCTCAGTGCGAGAAGTCCTTTAAAGAGAAAGGAGCGCTGAAAAAGCACCAGAGGAGCAAACACTTACACGAGTTGTTCCGTAATCCATGTCCGACCTGCGGGAAGATGCTTTCGTCATCAACGATGAAAAGGCATAAATTAATCCACACTGGAGAAAGACCTTTCAAATGCACTGTGCCTGAATGCGAAAAGTACTACAGATCAACCTCGGAGGTTAAGAAACACATTCTCATGCACCATACCACAGAAAGGCCGTATAAATGTGACATCTGTGGAAAGGGGTTTGTAAAAATATGGTATCTCAATGTACATGCTCGAATACATTCGGGAGAAAAACCATTTGTTTGCCATATCTGCGGCAAGGCCTTCCTAAAGGCCTACAGCATGTTCAGGCACAAAAGACTTCTACATACATTTGTTACACATTAACTACGTGACACAGGAATGCTTGATTGGTTAAGGAAAGTAGCTTCTTGGTGTGAATGCGCATTGAATCTGAATTCTGTCTAATGGGCAGCAAGGAGCAGATGTTGCAAAAGCTGGCAAAATAATTCCCTATTTACTATTTAAAGTATGTATGTTTTCATTTGAACCACTTGTCTACCAAGAGTGAGCGATGACAGAGGTCACTGCCACAGGAAACCAACCAACTGGACAAAAAAAAGAGAGAGAGAGAAAGAATCAAAACATGTCCAGCTAACTTTGTAACCACTTTGAGAACCCTCCAAATGCTTGTTCAGGGGTAAAGTTAGCAGTACGTTTTAGGTTATTGTTAGGCACTTAGATGCTTAAACCTCAGGTAAAAAGTGTGTGAATACACTGATGCCAGTGAATTACCTCACAAAGATACCTAGACAAATGTCTGCTTTGTGCTACACAGAAAGAGGAGCACACAGATTCAAATAGTCTACGATGAAACTGAAAAAGTAGTGGTTCCAGCATGTAAAATACTTACAGTCCCACAGTTAAATGTACTATCTCTGTGTGGGGCACAGGCTGCGGTGACTGTTGTCTAAGTCAGCAGCTGACAGTACAATGAAAAAAACAAACAAACACTGTAAACACAATAAAAATGCAGGATACATACTGGAGGTGAACGAGTTCAGCTCGGTGTATAAAGATCTTTGTCTTCTCCCAACTTCAATTCATATGAAGAATTACCATATTTGTTTCATGTGTACTTTGTATTTAGCAGTGTAATTTTTTTAACTATTTAGTTTGTTTGATTTTACATCATATGTTTTGTTCTTTTTCATGTTGTGTATAATGTGTTTTAGGCACGAAGCAGAAAAGTGAGCAGCATTCAGCTTCTTCTGTGGATCATTTTCATCTGTTTTTTTATCAAAAAATTAAAATGGTGAAGCTTTCACTTAAAATAGTGATCTTTCATTTTGTGGGGCTTTGCTCATGTTTTTGGGTTTTTTTTGTATTTGAAAATTGGTAAACCCCAAGATTACAATAAACTACTTAAATGTACATGCGAAAATGATTGCATGATTTTTTATTAAGAGGAAGAAACTCTTTAGTGTAGAAATAAAAGAAGGAAGGAAAGACAACGGTACAAAGTGTTATAGTGAAGAGCAAGTTGATAATAATGTGCTTGCCTCTTCTTCTTTCAGCTAATATTAGGATCAGGGCAGGCTTGGGTCATTTTTCTTTCTTTCTATTTTCTAAACTCTTAACACGATGTTTAGACAGTGTGTATATTGAGGACTTAATCAGATAGACCTGTACCTCAGGGAGAAGGTACAGGTCTATACAGGCCAGAACATCCAGACTGGCCAACAGCCTGTATCCACAGGCTGTGAGGCTCCTGAACTCTCTGCCCCCCTCTCACGGACAATAACCATATCCAACTTCTTAATAGCAATGAACTAGTCTGCATTGGTGCATCATATCTTTATTCTCTTCCCCCTCCTGCCCCCCCCCCCCCCCCCCCCCCCCCTCTTTCTTAAATAGATAACTATCATATCTGATATCATATCTCACAGTACAATAATATTGAATGGGTTGCATTGTTGTATTTTGTCATGTTTCTCAGGTCTTTGTCTGAATTTCTACGAACATTATTGCTAAGGATTGTCTTATTGCATTGGAGTCACACTGGGTTAAATATGTACACTTGGGTTTTAAGGGGTATTTATTATTTTCTTCTTTTTTGGGGGTTGTATGGAAGCCCCAAACGCAATTTCATTGTTCTTGACAATGACAATAAATAAATAAATACTAAATAACTATAAAAAACTAAGTATCCCTTTCAATTAGCCTCATCTTTTTTTGAATCTTTTCATTGAGCCATCATTTTTCACTAATTTAGACATCCATAATGCATTTAATTTAGTACACATAAAATAATGTGAATTCTATGCTTCTTCGGTAGGTAAAAAGGGAGGAAAGGCTAAGGTGTCAGACCATATGGAGTAATCCAAATTTGAAACCTTTGGTCCAAACTGTCATTAATTTGTAAAAGTCAGGAGAGAGGTACAACAGTTAATGTCTAATGCCCTCTGTCCTGGTTAGGGGTGGCATTGCACCCAGTAGCGTTGGAGATCTTGATAAAATTGATGGAATTCTAAATGCAGAAAACTACTGTCAGATCACTGTCACAAATACACACACACACTACACATGGACACTCTGAGTCATGGATTTGCATTCCTAGACCCCTGATCCCATTATTGAAGATGTGGGATCACCTTTACAGAGAACAGAAGAAAACGCAGCTAGCATCCAAAGAAGAGCTTTGGAATGTTCTTCAAGAAGCCTGGAGAACCATTCCTGAAGACTACTAAAAGAAATTAGTGGAAAGCTTGCTTAGTTCACGCTTTGTTAAGGAATTAAACATGGCCATACCAAAGTTGCTCCTGCTTTTTTTCGCAATTTTATTAGCCATATAGAAACAAAGGGGAGTGGAGATCGAAAGGCCAAAAGCACAGTAAAATAAAATGTAAAAAAAAAACGCGATGCGGAACGAATAACAGGACTATTTCCCGTTGTCGGACAGTTATTGTAGATGGAACGAAAGGCAACAGTTGACGCACAAAGATCAGTTGTGTGACTTCGCTTTCTGGCTTCCAACCCATTTAAAACCGTTACTTTGACTTCGGTCACAGTATTACATGTTCTCTGACTGTAATGTAACTGCAGACAGCTCGCAGCATGGACGGAGGTGTCTCCGAGTTACCTGGTGAGTTTAAATGCTTGTATACAATTTTGTTTGGCTAGGCCGCAATCTAGCCCGCGCGCGGGAATAGCATTGCTAAAGCCGTAGCGGTCGTTATTATTATATTATTATTTTACTAAAGAGTTGTGTCTAAAAAAATACAAACTGCTTCTACTTTTTACTAGCCTGGAAACACGTTGCTGGACTTAATTCTTTAACTCAGCGTTTGTGAGTATTAGTTATCCATAGTACTTAGATAATGCTAGGCTAGGCTAGGAAAAGTCATTGACAGCAATTCACTCGTTGAAGTGAATCCGCCTGTTTTGAGTAAATCTCTGATTCATGTATTTGCTTTGGGGGTTTTGGGTGGGAGGGGAAGGGGATATGCAAACATATTAGCAACGTATGCAAGCAGTTATACTGTTAAACATTCAAATTGATATGTAACAGTGGTTCAATAGTAGATTACGGAAATGAAAGTAGCAGGCACATCCGCTTTATCCGGAGCTCGGCATTTAAGCGTTTTGTTGTTGCTTTTGTTTTTGTTTGTGTTTTTCTGTGAAGAATAACTCCGCTTTAATGTTACGTGAGACCTTAGTTTTGTTATCGGTAATAATGGCCATTCGAGCCAAAATAAAACATTTTATTTTAATCCTGCTGGTAAGTTCGTGATGGGATTTTTTTGTGTGAAAAACTTCACAAAATTTTGATTTGGTATACTATGCATGAATCTCCTTTCTCTTTTGGAACCAATATAAAGACGGTGACTAAATAAAGGGAATTTAGTTTGTGGTCATCACTCCATTGACAACTTAAATGGGAAAGTCTGTGTTGTTGGCCTGTCTTCACTCTCACTGCGTATTGCCTTTCAAGCACTTTTTTTTTAAAATGCCTTTTTCCTTGCAGGCCCCTCTCTTCCCCTCTCTGCTCTGCGGCTCCTGGTCTCACCAATTCGGCTGGTTTCTGCAGCCATCTGGCAGACTGTGGAGCAGAAGGTTGTGTCAGACTATGGGCTGCTTGAGGAGTTTGTGTTTATGGTCACAGAAATTGTTCCTCAGCTTCTCTCTACGAGGCAGCGCGCTGAACTCGTCTTGGGACTCAGAGCACGAGTGAGTTGGCAGAATCTAGGTGCTCCGCATGGCGCTCCAGCATGTTACTAATACATGTATTTTGTCACTTGTTTGTTTAGCAGCTTAACATACATTTTAATTACATACTCCTTGGGTGACAGTAGGTGGGTTAGTGTGTTGTTTGAAGCTGAAGACTCATCTGATCAACAATTGTGGCTTTTAAACAGAAAAAAGCCTTTGATGTATGCAGTAGGGCTGAATGATAAATTGGGTTTTAATTTTAATTGCAGCAGTTACTATAAACAATTCTTCTTCTTAGTTTGTTTAATTCAAACCTCAAAAGGCGGAACCCACTAAGTTGAGAAAGAATGATAGTTATCCTTTAGAGAGATTAATGGTTGCCTGCAGCTGCCTTTGTCGTTATCTTAAAGCTGTCACAGTCTTTGTTTTGACTCACTCACTGAGAGTATGGCTGTGTCCCAATTAAGAGACCGCACGCTTGAAGTACGTGCACTACGTACGGTGCGTACTGTAAGTACGAGAAGTGCGGAAGTGAGAGGCTTGTGAAATGGGACGGTCTAGCCTTCGTCGTGCTGTTCAGGTTGCCTAGCAACCATGATACTAACCGCAAGAAACGTTACATACAGCATTGTGTGACATAAATGAAGGAGAAACAATGTTTTGTTGGTCATTCATTTTTGTCATGACATCACTTTGATTAGTTGAGTATCTGAGGCTGAGACCACGGGACTGTAAAACATGATTGTTTGGCTTCATTTCTGTACTGAACAGTCATTTCAAGATTAGTTAGTAAATAACAAATATATATATATATATATATATATATATATATATATATATATATATAAATATATATATATATATACACACACACACACATATACATGCATGCATGCATGTAAAGTTATTTATTTCATATTCTGTATAGTTTTTCATATTTATATCCTGTCCATATCCTGTACATAGCTTGTACTCACTACAGCCTGTACATACTTATAGTTATAGAATATTCACAACATACTTCATACCGTGTACATTATAACATAATAGACCCATTTCTGTAATATACTTACATATCTATATTATTGCTAATATATATTGTAATATATCTATATCACTAAGCACTTCTGGATGGATGCAAACTGCATTTCGTTGCCCTGTACCTGTGCATGTGCAATGACAATAAAGTTGAATTCTATTCTATTCTATTCTAAATAAAAGAAGAAGTTGAATGTTAAACATGAAGCATTTCCTGAGATTCATTATAGAACACAGAGTGAATGGAATGCATCTTTTCTCTTAACTGTTTGCTTATTAATGGTGATTGCAGTTGATCCTGGAGCTGTGTCGTTCTGATGACACTGCGGACCTGCAGGTTATTCAACCACATCTCGACCGGATGCAGAAGCTCAGATCACTGTGGAGCGTGGAGGTGGGTGAAAACCTTTTTTTTGTGTCTGTGACGTTTAGTATTCCTCGTTAAAATCTGAAGTTCCACGATGACCTCTTCTGTTTTAAATTCTTTACTTGTAGAATGCTGAACCGGTGTCAGACTCTCATTTCATGGGCCTAGTCCAAAATCTGCTGAGAGATCCCGAAGAGAGAAGAAATTTCTTCATTGTGAGTTAAAACTGAATACGGAGACAATGTGATTGATTGGTGGCAGGTCCTTGTTAATATGATCCCTTTTGAGGAAAAAATAAAATAAAATTGTACGTTTGTATTTGTTGCTTTGAGCAAATGGTTTTTGTAATTTGGCTCTATATAAATAAAACTGAATTGTGTTGTAGGATGTTTTCCCTGGAGACTTTGGTCCCACATATGACAAAGCAATCCAGACATTGATGTGGTTGTTTCTGTCAAGACTGGAAAAGCTTCTTCCAACCAAAACTCTCCAACAGGTAAATGTAATGTCTTATATTGAGCAAAGAGCATTTCTCCTTGTAGTATTAGTTTTTTTTAGCATTGTTAGTTGTTTTTGTTACCTTTTTTGTGATCTCTTGCATTCAGTTTGCAGCTCTGAGTAGTGAAAGGCTGTACACATACAATTCAACTCATTTGCAAAAATACTTCATTTTACTTTAATTTATTTGTTATAATAGGTCTATCATCA